CCCACCCCCCCACCCTGTTTTGCAACTAAATTTTAAAATTTCAATGCATAATATTAAAATTAGCGCTCTCACTTATCTATTCTGAGTATGTTGCGCCCCTACTGAAAAAAAATTCTGGATCCGCCCCTGACTAGAAGGCTTTTTCATTTACCGATTTGGAGACATTAGTCAGAAGTAACATACTGGTTGGTTACATGACTACAAAGCTTTTTGATTTACTAATTTGGAGACACATTGTCAATACTGTAATGTGGATGGGGATTGGACAGTGGAAATGTGACTGCTTCTATATTTCACCAAAGTATGCTACTCTACACACCGGAGACCAACTTTTTTCCACCTAGAGTCAATGTTCCTTTAGCTCAACTTTTACGATTCTAGAAAAATATGATGGCATTAATATTACAATAAAACATTTACAACTAAATAATTCTAATACAATAATGATGAATAATCAATAGCATTAATTAATTTACTTCATACCAAATGCACCTGTAGTCAAAGTAGTAAAACATTAATAACACTAAATTGGAAAAATGTTCAAGGTAACAATTACGAACTTCTCAATTACGAACCTTCTATTTTACGAACGGTGTTTGGCGATGACGTCATCGCTAATGACGTCGTCATTTTAGGTAACTTTTTTAAGCTATTACATGTGAATTTTGAGTGCTTATGTTAATTTATTCTACTGCATAACAAGAAACTTCAAGTGTAATAAAGCATCAATCAGTGTTTTAAGGGTCTTTATTTTATCAATTAAAGCATCGTTTATAAACACACTAACAACGATAATAAGACGTGGTAAAGTCATTTCCTAAGATAAACTATTAAAGAAGCACGAGTCACTGGACTCTTTCCAGCGACATGCCGATCTAAATTTAGACCGTCTTATAGAGACGGCATTCAATGAGAGAATATCGTTAACAGCAACAGTCGGTTAACATCAAAGGAGCGCATAGCTGTGGTTGACAAACTTTACAGGACGCGCATCTGGGAATGAATTGGTTTACGCTTATGAACTTTGTAAACAATGAATGGGGTTTGGATAAGAAATGACAGAAAATATACAATTTAAATATATCATTTGTACGTATTATTTTCAATGACACCTTTTCATTGGTAGGGAGGGAGCATGGGAGGAGCATAGACCCGATTGTTTAATTGATTGCGGCAGCGGCTGGTTGACACTGCTAAAACGCTAGAGCGTGTATAGCCAATCAGCGCAAAGCAGAAATCCGTCGGTGCAACAAGCACACGAATAATCGTCGCCCATGCGGAGTACTTCTTGACTTTGCATCGGCTGTGGGCATGGAGGCTATGGGTAAATAATAGCACAATGAGAGAGGTTTGTTTATACAGTAATAATATACAATAGTTTAGTGTTAGTTAGAATTTTTTATAGTTAATTTTTATAACATTGTTTTAAACCTACGCAGTAATGTACATTGGAAATATTCTGTGTAAACTTAAACCAGTCATAGACCATACCATTAGTCCGTGACAACCGTTGTGTGCACACACATGGTTAAAAAATCTATGTTTCATTATTTTTCCCGATAGAGGGCGCTATTTTTTTTCATACCTCTCAATTACGAATTTTCTCAAATACAAACTCCTTCTAGACCAAAGGGTACCTAATTGAGAAGGTTGACTGGTACTACATTACTGAAAAAGCAATCCAGTAAAAGAAAGAATAAATAAAATTCCAATATGCTTACCCATGTTATAAACATTAGTTGGTACTTGTACTGTACTTTGCGTGAGGTTGACATCATCATTAAAATGATCGTCTGGTGTCAATGTAAAATTACCACCCAATGGCAGATATTGTCCATCCTCAGTTTTCTGATTTATTTGCAAGGCATTGAAATATTTATACTACAAAAGAAAAAATTTTATGGAGAAAAAAAAAACAATAGATTAATAGATATATCTACTTGTTAGTCAGGCATCTCACAACCCAACATAATATACTTCTAAGCCTAAAAATATAAAGATTTAATTTGTATTTTATTTTTATTTAATTTATTTTGCCTATTCAGCACATACAGTAATTATAATATCAAATTTGAGATATATAGGAATGTACTGTAACATCAACCTTGCATTGGGAAAACACACTGGCATATTATGTTAGCAACAATTTCTATGATACTGTATGTATTTATTATGACTGTAATAAATGTTTCCCTATGTAAAGTAAACCATTTAACAAGATAAGTCAATAACTAAATTTCCAATAACTAGCACCTTGAAGGCTGATTAGGCTGTTCACTGTGACCATGGAATTATGGTATGCTTCAGTCCTAAACAAACTCACACCACATTTATACCACACACAAACCACAAACACGGTTTTATGTCCTTGAAATGTATTTTCACTACAAAAAGCGACCCTCCAAACTTCGCTGTTTATACAACAAGTTAATACGTGTGTTACACACCGGAAGATTTGTATGGCGCAATGTATTTTGGGAGACAATGTCAAACCAACAGTGCAACTCTACTCTCCTTCCACTGAATTTACATGGTTTGTTTTTTGAAAGAGGAGTGATTGCTTACAGTTGATTGATTGTGTTAATATTCCCTTAATATTTTCCCTCGTAATCCTATTTTGTTGTTACTAATTATTGTATTTACCATTGCTAACAGTTGAGTATCATGGGAGAAGACGATCTTTGATTGTTTCTGTCAGTGATGGTAGGCTAGTCAGACTGACGAATAGAGGGGGAAAGCAATTGGCTTGCGGAGCGACATGTGCTTGATTTCGTTGCATTACTTGCCAAGCAATAATTACAAAAAAATATTATAATCTATAATTATAATTATGGCAATTAAATCGATAAATTGTTAAAGAAAATAACGTTACTTTTGAATTAAAAAAAAAAAAAAATTAGCCATGTTGTATCGTAACTACTGCAAGAACCAAGCTATGTCCCCAATGCAATCTCAGCTGGGCTAGTAATATATTATGAAGCCATAACAGAGGCACTACTTCTAGATTTTTAGTGTATATAGAGGGTATACCACAGACAGTGCTGTAATATGTACTTAACTGGAAAAATATTTATATGTTTTTATTTTATAGTTTATGACGAATCGTTATGCAGCAGTGTGGAAGGAGTACAAGAGGTGGAAGAATAGGCTGGTGGCAGTCTGCTGAGCCTATTAGAAGATGATGGCGAGTTACCACATGATGTACTTGTAAGCCAAACTGCTGGCCAAGATGACAATGAGACAGAAGCTGTTATAGGTATGCTGTATTTTACAATACATATAACCATTACTAATACACATCTTTTATTGTATTTATCAGCAGCAGTAAAATTTTGACTGGGGTAAGTATTTTTCTATTTCTGCCAATTTTAGACTCAACATTTTCCTATTTAATTCTTATTTTACAACACCGTATACACTTACCTTAACCGAGTACTGTATTTTGTGTAGTTCCCTTATGGAACTTAAGATTACATTATTACATTGCACCATGAAATATGGAGTAGATATAATTGTTATAAAACCTTTTTAAACAATTATACTTTACTATATGTGACCTTTGCTAGTTTTTGAATATTGAAAAATATTTTTAAAAAATGATATTACTGTATACCTCAGCCTCAATTTTTTTTCTTTTACAAAAGTTTAGCCTCAGTGTTCTTATCAAAAGTGTACTGTATTTTCATTATTTTAAAAATAGTTGTATTTAATTGTTACCTAAAATTCTTCTGCAATTTACATGTACACTGTACTGTAAAGTTACCAATAATATACAGCATCACAAGTTTATAGAGATTTTTTTTTTTTTTTAAGGTGCTGTAGCCAAAAAACAGAAGGCATCCAATACTGGCAAAGAAAAACAGGACAATCAGAAGTGCAGAGCAAACTCGAAAGGTAACTATAAATTTCATATTTGTGATTACCACCTGTTTAGCCCACAAAAGTTAATGCCACTCTCTGTTACTCTGTGCTACTTTTCCCAGTCATTAATTTAAGTTTATTTTTATTAAATTTATTTTTATTTCTTGCTTTTTTTTTAGAAAAAAAGAAAGCCAAGGTAGATGAAATGGTATCTAGTTTCACAGAGGCAGTAATAAAGGTTAGCAAAGACTTTGGTGATGCACATTTTCAAAACCAACTGAAACTGCAAGAAAACATGTTCATGTATGAAGAAAGGAGAAGAAAAGAAGAAGGAGAAGAAAAGCGCAAGGCTGAAGATCAATTAGAACTCTTTTCTAAGTTCAGCCAGGCATGGCATTCGACACCTTCGGCTACTGCAAACTTGCCAGTTGCTAGTGCCACTCATATTCCAATGCCCATTTCCACATTTCCATCGGTAATGCACCATCAAATGCAAATCTCTCGTCTGCCATCTTCATCTGGTAGCCCACACTCAACTTTATCTAGTGCAGGCTCTTCAAAGGACCAAAAAAATAAACAAAATATTGACGTGTATAATAAGCCTTGGTTGTAAGATGTGTAATTACTCTATTGGGTTTGTATTTTTTTTTTCTCTCCTTCAGTCAAGGATTCCAAATGAAGTAATGCATCTTAATAAGGCATATGAAGCTTGTGAGCGACATGTTTCAACTTGCCACACGTCATCGACAGGTAATAATACTTATGCTACTACCAGTCTGACAAAACCAGCAAATATTAGGGCAAGTAGACCGGTTAGTAGCATAAGCATTATAGACGACGTGTGGCACATCAACACATGTCGTTTACAAGCTTTATCTAGTTCCATTTTACTTTCTTAAATATTTCTTACTAACTACTGTTTTTTTTTTTAAAGGAGAGTGTACTTTTAACTAGTGTAATTTTGTAAAGACTTTTTTTAAGATTTTGTGTGTGTGTGTGTGTGTTCTCAACTTGGTTTTTGAACTATTGTGTAGGTGTTGCAGTAGTATTTTTATTAGACAAGTCTCTGTAGTCAATAGTGTAAATATTTGAAAGTTTTCTATTAAAACAATGATACATTACTGTATGTTATTGCGTTCTGTTTAAGTGTGCTTTTCATATAGACATGACACTGCAGTTGACTGACCAGTGCACTATGTAATAAGCTGAAATATGATGTTTCTATACTGGTTACAGATTAGAGTAGAGTACATCAATAAAAACTATTTTGAGAAACTGTATTTACCCATGATACATACACCAAGCTTGTTTAAACGAACTACCATTCAAGACTACTGTACATCATCGGAATCAAGTGAAAAAAAAGACGTCAGATGGTTTTGAGTAAATATCCTCTGATAAAGAATTATTTCATTATTTATTCAACATTCCCGATTCAACTCTGCTCCTTACAGTACCATAAACTGCATAACAATCACAAAAATTGAAAAACTAATAATGAAGGTATTAGCCACTACTTCCTTACTTAAACTAAATAGAAAAATAAATTGAAATACAGTAAAATAAAATGCTAATTTTCAAACAAATTAGGATTGGACAATTTTAAATTCTACAAATTCTACGAAATTTCAAGTTTTTGTAGTGACAGGAACGCCAATTGGCCAAAAATAAATGTATAACATCTTTGGTATATAACATTTCGGTGGGCAGTATGTTTGCTAAACAAGTCTTGCATAAACAAAGTTGGAATGTTGTAGCGAATACAGTATTCAGAAAAATTAAAGTGAAACAAAATCACTCATTTTATAGTATTGAACATTTGCAAAACTAATGTTGCATGTGCGAAAAAGCACAATACTGTACATACAAAAACTCTGTTTATACAGGATACCAGTTCATGTGATTATACGAAGTACTGTACTAATGCAGCTCGTATATCATCTGCAGAAACCTCTTCTTCTGGTGCATTCTCTGCATGTGGCTGTTCAAATTCTTGGGGAACATTGTCCCACGCTGGATTATATTTCTCTCCCTCATCAATGCAAAAGTTATGCAAGACACAACAAGCAGCGATCATACATCCAACATTTTAAGAGCACTATTGTTGCGTTTCATTAGTATGCGCCACCTCCCCTTCAGCATTCCAAATGAATGTTCCACAACCATCCTCGCTTTCGATAGTCTGTAATTGAATTGATTTTGCTCTCTTGTAAGGTTCCCTGTCATGGAGAAGCCCTTCATCAACCACGTCATTAAAGGATAAGCTGGGTCTCCAAGTATCATTATAGGTACATGTACGCCATTTATAATCTCTGCCCTCTATAAAAAAAGAATAGAAATAAAAAAATATATATGTTCAGATTCAATTATTGCAATCATTTGTTTATTTTAAAATTAATATAAGAAAACTTATTTTATCCAGATACTGTATAAAACTGTAAAACTGTACTGTATTAAATTTACATTAGGAAATAAGTTTGCATTGCATAGATTGCATACCTCTAAACAATATTATTATTGAAGATTAGGAACAAAAATAAAAACTATCATTGATGTCATTTTATATTTCTATCTAGGCACATTTAAAAAAATTATTTTTCATTTAATTGACGTACCGTAAATTATTGTTAGCGCCATCCTTTGCAGTTATAATAATCGGCAGCAAAATCATTAGGGGCTATGATCAGAATGTGGGTTCAATCAATTGCCCCTGCACATTGGGAAAAACCATGTTGCTGCCTAAAACCGTTAACAGTTTCTGTCAATTTCTGTCCTTGTGGCCAACATATACTCTGCTCGGAGTTCTTGCACAATTTCCCTACACACTTGATGTACTACCACACAAACACTTGATCATTGCAACCCCAAACAGATTAGCTATAGAATGAACATCGCAACATGTGGCTAGTCGGTATAGGGCTATTGCCACACATTTTTTCGTTGATAAATTTCGCCCAAACTTGTTGGGTTTTCTTCCTATGAGGTGGTCAAGATGGTCACACAAATAATTGAAGGTGGGC